GCATATCGGCCAAAATCCCAATATCGTGCATCCCTATTTCTTTTCTTTATTGTATCTACAAATAATCCTAATTCCTAATGGAAGTGCTTCTCACAGGGATTTTTATGGAATTATTATTGCCATACATTTGATGATTAAGAATAAGATAAGAGATCCTACAAATGTGTGGAAGTATTTAGTAATAAAAGCATAGAAATGCCCTTTTTATATAACCTCCCCGTCCTGCAGTGAAATTATTGAGGCAGAGTTGTGATTTATTGTCCTTCAGTGGTAAAATTCAGGTAAAACAAAAGTACAACGAAAGAAAAAGTGCTGTACAATTAAAAAAATATACTCCGATTCTACAAAATGTGCAGCTGAGTAAAAAAACTTTAGAAATATACAAATGTAGCTGTAGCCGTTCTTTGGCTACAGTGGCGGAAAAATCAAGAACATACTGTTGGTGGGGCGATGAGGTGCTGGGAGGAAGGATCTATGATTACACTCCTTTGAGTGAAGGATTCAGAATTTCTAAAATTACTGAAATTTAAATGATTAACTTTATTCCTCAAGATATGTTTCAAATTTCTTTTTTAAAATGGTATAAATTAGCCGCTTCAGGACCATAAGGATTCCTAAAACTGAAACTTTTTTCAACTGATAACCACAAATCTCAATATCTTACTGTGATTTTATTTAATTGACCCACACAACGTTTTACCTTTTGTGAGATAAAAGGTTTTCTGTTTTAGTGGGAAAAAGGTATTCAACTGGGTATTCCATTTAAATAAAAAATGTTATAATGTCCAGCCCTGCTCTGCCTAGACAGTTTTCTCACTTATTTAAACCCTAAATTAAGGCTGTGAAGGTTTCCATAACCGTTTCCTAATCGATTACAGTTGGAAACGTCGCATGGAGCCTCGGCGGAAGTTCAACTGAAGAAACTGCTCTCCTACCTCCACCTACGACTCAGCCAATCAGCTTTGAACCACACCTCAACGAAAGCCAATCGGCATCCAAAGTTCATCTTAAAAGGCCTCCGATACGCACCTGGCGGCGGATGACCTTCGTAGCTAAAGCTTCATCAGAGCGTCATTCCTCCCGGACTCTTACTGCGTTCCCTGTCTCATCTTAACCGCAGAAGCCCGCCATGTTGAGCCTGGTTCTGCCAGAGGTTTCTTCTAAATGGGGAGTTTTTCCTCTCCACTGTCGCTTCATGCTTGCTCATCATGGTCAGGTTCTTTCAACCTGTGTACTCCACCACCAGTTTCATGCCTCGGTGCAAACAGCCCTATTCTTTGCTCCTGTTGATGCATATCTATCAAAATGAAGCGCTATGTTTCCTGCCGAGGTCTGAGCGCCAAAGACAAAGTAATTTTATTAATAAATTTCTCCTTATTGTCTTTTCTCTTCATGCGAGTTTTTCAGATTGAAATATTGTTATGAGAAATAGTCTAGCTTGTTATGAGAACTATTTTTTTTTTATCCCAAAAACTCCCTGATAGGATAAACAGCTTCTCTCCATTAGACACCTCGTAGCACTGAGGCCTGAATGAATGAAAATCAGCACTCATAAATCTATATTTATGTAAAACCTCAATCTGAGGAGTTTATTGTTAATAGTGCTCAAAGCAGACAGTTTTCAATTATAAAAAATCACACTCACATTTTATTTTTATGCCATATTTGTGGAGGATTTGACAAGCGCCTTGGCTGTGGTATTATTCTCAAACGTTTATTTCTGCAGGATCATAAAGGAATGTGTACCTCTGCTGAACTGTGGACAAATAGTTTAAAGAATAACATCAGTTCTCTTTCTGGCACCAAAACGTGTAATTGAAGCTTTGATGCATTCTTTGGATGACCAATAAGACCCTGCCCCTTTAAATATGGGTCCTATGCCAGCTTTGCAAGTTAGACATATTTTAGGTCAATATAAAGATAACTTCCGGTTTATTTTCAAAGCAAAACAGAAGATCAGATAATCTGGTTCTGTTTATTCTCTGTGTGTATCTCATTATTTGGCATTTAAACTATAGACCAAGACATTTTGTCTGTTGTCTTGTGACGAGGCGCTTCTTTGGCAGCATTTTGTTTTCAAGATCGACTTATTTTAGGATTATTCTGTCAGCTTTTCTTGTTACTTTCTCCACAAAATTTAACTCTACTTCTGTCCTCTGGTTGTTTCTGCAGAATTTGAGTTCTTGATGAAGCTGTTATTTGATGTCCTTTACATTATTAAAAGCTCTTTGCCTCACAAAGTCTAAAAACACACCTGCTGCTGCTTGCTGCCGTTCTGGGTGAGCTCTGCACTGGTGGTAACCCAATGTTTTCTATTTCTACAGCAGCTTAATTTATCTTTTTAAGGCCATCATGGATCACTAAATTGTGAAGCTGTTTGTGAGGCTCTTCTCTTTTCATGCATGTTGATTTAGGATTCTTAGGTATGTTTGGTAAAATAAAGACAATACAAGTATTTCTTAATAGAATGTAATAAAGTAAAATAGTCTTAATTCTCCCACAGTGGAAAATTTCAGGTGTGTTTGTGGCAAAAGGAAATCCGCTCTAACTTTATTTGTGGAGCACTTCAGAAAAGAGCAGCAGAACAAAGATTTGAATTGACAAGACAGACATTTTGAACTGAAAAACTTGGAAACAAAGTCCAGTGGATTGTTTGTAAAAAAAATTTTTGGAATGACTTTGACCTGGTGAGAATTTTTACCAGCAGCAGAAAAAAATGCTGACAGAGCATCAAACACAGCTCACATATGGAAAAAATGCAATTGAAGGCATGAGAATGTTTTCATGAATCAAGGCAAACAGACATGTTGGTCACACCCAACACATTTTATTCACTTTCCAGTTCACCAGATCATCCAGTCAGATTGATTCAAAGTTTTCTATTTAACGAAAACCAGCTGATTGCATCGACTCATTGACTCTTCAGCAATCCCTCATACTAAACATGCTTGTAGCGACAGTGGAGAGGAAAAACTCCCTTTGAACAGTAAGAAACCTCCAGCAGAACCAGGCTCAGTGTGAGCGGCCATCTGCTGAGGCCCACTGGGGTTCAAGGAGACAGAAGCAGACATAGAAAAAGAAGCATAGATACAAAGCCAGGCTGAAACTCTTCAAAAAGTTCATTATGGTGGAAGTGATCGCACACTTGTTTGGCAACTACTTTCTCAATAATTTTAGATCAGAAAGGAAGAGTGGATATAGGTCTATAA